ATAAGCTCCCTTAAGAAGGCAATTGGGTGGTAAAAGCTGATAGAGCTGAGTTGGAAGCCCACCTACAAATATTTATTAGCTATGTGACCCTAGGCAAGACAGTCAACCTTCTATGCCTCAGGCTGCTCATCTATAAAATGGTCTCTAAGCTCCCTTCTGGCTCTAAATCTATAGGAAAAGACCCCAAGGCACTGACAGGCTTGCACCTTGGAATGCCACTGGGGGACCACATGGGAACAGGGAATTCAGAGATGTGGAGAGGGAGGAGACGAAAGCCCTTGGAGCTTCCAATGCTAAGAGCACTGACTTCAGAGTCAAAGGATGATGCTCAAATGTTGTATCTGCGTATAGACTATTATTCATAAAATGAGGGGCTTGGAGTAAATGGCCTCTAAGACCTCTTCTGGCTCTAAACTTATGACCTCATGCTCCTCATTATTGTTTCTAACTAGGTGCTAACTCTACTATTTCTAAGATGCACAAGGCCACAAAATTTTGCCAGGGAATGCCCTCCCAATTTCTACCCCCTGTGGCAAGGTCCCTAGTTGTCCCCATCCTAGTTATAGCTCTGGTACAGATCCTCAAAGGATGCTTTATAAACTTTCTTTTGGGGGAAAAAACAACAGCACTGATTCCTGAAATTACTCATAGATAACAAGAATTACTTAATCTAGAGATAAGTCTCTATGTTCCAATGCACCCACAAGGCAACATTATTCTACAGAAAGAGCCCAAAATGAAACTGAGTAAACTCCTGTTTCTAATAGACCTTGTAAAGTGCTCAAAATTTTGACATTTTAGTGCACTGGTACAATTTGAAGAGGGCACAACTCCTCCTGACATTTACTCTCCCAGGTAAAGGAAGATGATCCAATCTTTGCCTACAAATGAATGCAAGCCTCACTAGAGATCAACCTTGCTGTACCTCATTTAGTGCAGGACACAAGTAGGATTCCCTCAGTATCTGAGACAAAGGACTCTTCTTTCCTCTATCTCTGGTCAAGGCCTAAAAATAGAGATGCAGTCATAAAAAAGAAACAGTGAATTTTTTTTAAAAAAAATGAAAGTACATTGAAAAGGCAACATGGAAAGTGTATTGGATGTAGAGTCAGAGATCCAGGACAATTCCTCTACTTACTAAATGGATGACCTTGGGCTAGTCACTAAAGCTTACATGGCTTTAGCTTCCTTATCTACAGAAGTTCTCCAAAATCCCTTCTATCCCTGAATGTCATTAGTCTATATGTATATGTAGATACATAAAATCAGAGATGTAGAACTGGGCAATACCTCAGAGACCATTCATTCTCCATTGTACAGGTGAGGAAACTGAGGTTAAGGAGGTAAAATGACATTCATAGTCACACAGTAATAAGCAATAGAAGCAGAATCGGAACCCACCTCTCTGATTTCAAAGCCAATTCCCTTTTTATTGCCTTAGCATGTTTTTCCCCCCTGTAATTTCACAGGGGTGGATAATACCCAGAGGGGAAACTTTCTCCACTAAGGCAGAGAAGAAACTCCTATGGGCCCCTGAAGTGCTGAGGGGTAGAAGTATCTTCCATGGCCAGCACTCAGAACAGGATATGGCACATAGTAGGTACTTAATAAATGGTGATAAACTAATTGATTGACTGACTGATGATCACAAAGCCAATATGTGAAAGAACCAAATCTTCTGGACTCCAAGGTCAGACCTCCTCTATCAATGACCTGAAGCTGCCTTTCATAAAGTAAGTGGACACCTAGTACTGCTCATCTCGCATGGGTGTATATATACATATATATGCATACCTATACACACATGCAAGATGAGTAATAAGAGGTTTTTTTTTTCCTTTGAAATGTTTAGGTGCTGTATATTGAAAGATACTCAAAACTCTGTTCCCAGGGTCATTAATGAGATGTTGGCTAAAGATTTCAGATGTCCCCTGCTTTACCTCATAACATAATTCTATCTCCCTCTTCATGGCAATATAGACACATGCATCTATGTATGTGTGCATGTATGCATGTATGTAGGTAGGTAGAGGGAGGAGAGAGAGAGAGAGAGAGAGAGAGAGAGAGAGAGAGAGAGAGAGAAGATGAAATTGAGAAATAGAGACAGAGACAGAGACAAAGAGATGGAGAGAGCCCAGACATGTGATTTCATATATATGTATATACATATTTCTTGTGTGCATATATACATGTGTGCACATCTACATAGATAGGTTAAATTGAGAGGGCATGGATAAATTATAATAGATATAAAAAATTAAGAAATGGTAGCCATCATGAAAGTAATACTAAAGTCTGTAATTGGGAAATTGCCTGAGAAAAAAATTGCCTGAGGCTTAATATGAGAAAAAACTATCCTGAGTCCTTGGGAAGTCACAGGCTCCCTTGAGTATCCAACACATAGGGTTGAAGCTGTGCCATACAACCCCATTGTTTCATATATATAAGGAAACTGGGGCCATGTGACTTGCTTAGCTAACATGACTTGCCAATCACAGGTATTCAAACCGAGCATCTTTGCCTCCAATCTGGCGTGCCTTTTTCCCCTAGAGGTCTTTAAGCAAAGGCTGTGGGACAATTTGTCAGGGAAGTTGGAGAAAGGATTCCTGTTCAGGTACCATTTGGATTAAATGGCCTCGGAGGTCCCTTCCATTTCCCTGATTCTGTGATTATTCTATCCAGTTTATGTAAATTATCTCTAAATCTACCTGCTCCTTTTCTAATTCCACGTGGCCCTAGGGAGATCTTTATTTCTGTAGAGTTTTTAGGAAGAATTTTTATGCATTAAACATTCATCTTATGGAATTTTTAAGGAGTTTTCAGAAAAAAAAAGACTTAAACTTAAGGAAAGTCAATACAGCATAGTAAATAAAGTGCTGGGCTTGGAGTCGGGAAAACTTGGGTTCAAATCCCATCTCTGACTTATTAATGATGTGACTATGGGCAAGTTATTTAACTTCTCTGAGCCTCAGTTTACTCATCTGTAAATTGAATTTTTTTTTTTACATATTCAAGCAAAGGCTAGATGACTTTCCTGCATTACAGAGGGGATTCTTATTCAACCATGAATTGGTATGAATTGGACTAGGTGGGGCTGAGGTTCCTTCCAAATCTAATGATCTAAGATACCTTGCTGGTTTAGGATACTTGAGTAACTTTTCCATGACAAGGAGCAAAGAACTGTGTGCTATGTCCCAGTCTGTAGGCTATGGGTGGTATTTGCTTATTGACCGGACCAAATTGGGCAAAGAAAGCACTTTTCAAAAGCTTTTCATTCCCTTTGACTCAATCTGTTCTGACATCCTGAAAAAACAGCTTACTGCCCAAACATCAAAGCTATCACATATACAACTAGAAACATTTATTGGGCGCAGACAAACAAGCCTTCTCACAAGGCTAGGTGACTGGTATTTTTGGCTTGTGGATCAGCACTACTTGTGGCTTTCATTGTTATCATTATTATTATTAATAGCATTTGCAGAAAGCTTTAAGGTTTGCAAGGCATTTCGTATATGGGTTTTTTTCCCCTCACAACCTCACAACCAGCCTATGAGGGATGTGCTATTATACCCATTTACTGAAGAAGAAACTGATGCTGAGAGGTTAAGTGACTTGGCCAAGGCCACATAGCTAGTGTTTGAAGTGGGATTTGAACCTATCGGGTCTTCTGACTCCAAGTCCCAAACCACCAACCTGCCCCTGGATGTCAGCTTTTGGCCAGCAGTGGTCCCTGAATAGGTATGTCAAATAATTCTTACTTGAAAGACCATATGGGTCACCATTAGGAGCTACTGATCAGATTGTTTTGGCCTCAGCTCCTAAGAGGATACAGAGCTGTGTTATTTGGGCTCAAATTCTGTACAGAGGGTAGGACTAGAAGTGATGGGGAAATAGTTTTCTTGACAGATCTTCATGTCTTATTCTATACAAATTACATCATATTACAATGTTTGCCATTATAACTGTAAGTTGATGGGAAGGAACTGTTCTAAGGCTTATTGTTTATTATCAGAGCTCTTGCCTTGCATAATTTATTTGCTGTCTGGGTGTGTGCAAATTACCCATAAATCCACTTGCCCTCATAAGTATCTCATAAACCTGAAATGTGGCCTTCAGGAAAAGCATGAGCTCCTATAAAAATCAAAGACTCGTTAGTTACAAACCCAAAGTAATAAAATGGAAGTTTCCCATTTTGTTGTTGATGTCATTTTCCAAATATCCAAAAGGATTCCTTGAATTCAACTTTGAATTGAAACCTTCTCAAATGATAAACGATGAAAGACCAGCCTGAAATGGTATCCAGAGAGTATCGCGACATGATGATTAATTTCTCATGTCTCCCTGTTCTCCCTTGTGAAAAGTCATGTAGAAAGAAATGTGACTTATAGAATCTAAATTCACGTACATGTATGAAGGTGTATTTAGTGTATATTTGGTTGCTATCATGCTAATACAAACAATAGAGCATTAAGCAATATTGACCTCTAAGTGTGGTTATATTCAGAAAAATGAGTTTGAAATCTGCATTGTCATGGCATGCATGTGTTCCTCCCAAGTCTGAAGCCATATCTCATTGATTTTTAAAGAAAAAAAAACTGGCCAGGTTCCTGACAGCCCAGTTGCTGACAGGCCAACTGTGCTGTCTCAAGAATCCCTAAAGCCGTCATCAGTTAGGCTCTGAGATGGGGAGATTCAGAAAGAGCACTGCTTGATTTTGAAGACACCAAGTGGAGGTGGCAGGCCCTGGGGTCAGAGTGGGGAAGGAGTGTTCCTTTGACGTACAAGTAAAGCCCATTTGAATTGGTAGTGGCTGATGGGAGATGGGAGCTGAAGCTGGAACCACGGGCTGTCATTTTTGCAGCGTTTACAATTCTGTCCTCTGACTGTAGCCACACTTCCCAACACAATAAGATTTGGGGTCCGATCAGATGCCAAAGTGCTTATTAGAGGGCGGGAAAGTTCACCATAAGCTCTAACATGGGTGTCATGACTCTTTCCAGGTAGTAGGTGTAACCTTGAAGAAAAAGTGGCACTGTCTTCAAAAAAGTGACCTGACTCTGGCCTTGGTGGGTTTTTTCTACTGTGCAAGAAATAAACAGCACCGCATGTGTTTCCGATACATCCTTTCTCGCTGATCACTGCTTTGTTCTAGAGTTCAGCATGAAAGGACTAATTTTTATTTCTTTCTTTTCTTTAGTAAAATAGCATGTCAGTTGCTAATCCCAGCTACTCCAGTTGCACACATATTTTTAATTAAAAGAAGATTATGGATTGGTAGCATTTCAAATAAGCGATATATTCTGAAGGTTAGACTTAGAATCTTTGAAATGCTGACCAATTGACATTATATTCTCTTAGCCCAAGAAATGAAACTCTTGAGTTTTTTTTAATTTTATTTCATTTATTTTAATTACACTGGTTATAGTAGGTCTTATTTCTTTGGATAGAAAAAGTAATTCAGACTCGAGCATGCCTCTGTCGTCCAAAACTTCTGGGAGCATGGAAAGAAATCTCCATGGGTGGATTATGCTGTTTGGGAATATAAACTACAAAGACTGTGTCATGTCAAGTATTTAACTTGTAGATGTCTTTGGCCTGTAATGGTTCTATATGCTTTTAGGGTGAATGTGTCAGCAAACTAATTTTCACATCAGTAATTAAATGTCATATGGTTTTAGTAATGACAAAAAAATCTTTTCACAAAACATAAAGTTATGTACAGTCCTATATAAAGTGTTAATACTGTTCCAAGCTAGAAGAAGTCCTGTATAATAATGCACTCAGGTGTTTAATCATACATAGGACAAGAACTATGTGCCATTGCAATGAGAATGTCTGTGAAGATGGCTGCCATTGAGAAGGTTGGGGAAATTTCGGAAATCCCAAACTCAGATTCTGGAAACAAAGGGACATTTGCCTTTAAGCATTCTAGATTCTTAAAGAAAAACTCTAGCATTTCAGGCAATTTTATACATTCTAAAATTTAATCTCACAGAGAAGAGAATATATAATTGTCCTCAGAGATAAATTACTAGCTTTTAAATTTTATGAAGGAAAAGGGTGAGAAAATTAGATAGTTTCTTTAAAAAAGGGGGGGGGAGTTACCTTCTAAATGGAGACCTCGTTTAATCAGATACACTTTGGAAGCCATATATGTACCATAGTAGAAGAATGTCTACAATTCTCTCTCCCTTTGTTGTTTTGTGGTTGTCAAAATAATCTTGGCTTTCCAGATTAACACTGACCCTAGCAAGTTTTGCCCTTTTCAGATACCGGCCATCAAAATTCCATCATGTTCATTAATCTGCCATGAACAGGATACTGAAGTGTCCCTGTGAACCCCATTCCCATTTTTTCAGTACATTGCCAAGGCAAACCTTTAGATGCATTCTTAGGGTCAAATTCCCCTTCCATAGGAAAACCCTTGTTTAGATAAGGTGATGAGAAAATAAGCATTGTGAAACACACCTTAAAAAGTGAAGTTTATTTTCTTTTGGTAAAAGATTTGAAAGATCATTTAATTTTCACATCACCTGAGAGGCATCTAAATCCTTAGCAAATTGAGTTTTGAACAGATTGAGAGTTTTTCCAAGTTTCCCATTGCCTTTAATGATAAGAAACTTCAACTTTTCAAATTCACCAGCAGGGTATTGGGGAAGATATGAAGTCCTGCCATCCTGTTACTCTCTGAAATTGTGATACCTTAGTCTACTAGTATTATCTTTGGGGAGGATAGTTGCTAATTCACCCATTTACCATTCTTTGGCTCACATCTGGATTTAAAATATTCCTTAAGAATGACATCTTTTTTTTAAAAAAGGACATCTTTATAATTGATTTTTAATTTCTTGGTCTCAGACATCTTGATAGTCAAGAAAGAGATCTGTGGTCAGACTACCACCCCACAACAGGCTGGGCAAATAGGAATATTATGAAATCACCATTCATTTTCCACTCTACCCAAGGTGAATTAGAGTGTTTGCTATCCGCAGCATAGTCCCTTGGACGTGTTCCTTCTGGAGTAGTTTGATCCTATTCTTTACCTCAAATTGGATGTACCGTTAGCATTCAATCAACAAGTATTTATTGAGCACCTACAGTGTTCCAGGCACTATCCTGGGCAATCGGTATGCAATGACAGAAATAACCCCAACCTTCAAAGAGCTTGCATTCTTCCAGGGAAGATGTAACATAACAGAGGGATTTCTAAATGATTGTTTATGCCCTGAAAATTGCATTTAAAAGATATGACAAATATAAATACGATGTTAAGCTTAAATAAAACCTATATAATGTCCGTGGTAAAGTTGTAAACACTAACTAGATGTTCATAAATCTCCTTTTCAGTATTTTTATGTATTTTGTTCTCAGCCAAGAGCCTCAAGACTTCCTTCTACCATCTTTCTCTTCATTTATGTTGTGGATTGTTCTTTAACCAGTTAGAATTTCTTGTAACAAATAACAAGTTCACATTTCCTCCTGACCCAAGTCATTGTTGGTTTCACTGTTATAGGGGAAAAGCTCTAGGGCAGCCGATAAGGCTGTTGCCATGGTGATGAAGGAGATACCGAGGGAGGAGTCTGCTGAAGAAAAGCCCCTCCTTACTATGACATCACAGGTGGGCAGACCAATAGGGTTCCAGTAGGAAGCTGACATATGTTAATTGATCAAAGACTGGTTTTTAACTAGTGGAGAAACATTCACTCTTTTGAACCAATCAAAAAAATAAAGACAGTTTTCACTGAAACAATTATAAAATGGAAAATTGGGGGAGGGAAAGAAAATACAATTTAGTACTTAATTGTGGATATTAATTTTCATTACTCAATCTTAGTTTTTATTTTTAAAAATATATGTATACATACAAATATAACAAATGTTGCTTCATTATGAAGGACTATGAAAAAAAAGAACCTTTGAGAAATGGACAACCATTCACTTAATAATACTTTTAAATAAAAAGAAACCTAAACACAAATTCCAATTTACAAAGTTATTTGACATAGAGCCCATAGACATATGTCAGTTTGCCAGTAGATTTTCTAAACTGATTTTCTTAAATGTTAAATATATCCATGTTGTGAATATGTGCATTGCAAACATATGTATACACATATTGTTATGGATAACTAACTTTGAAGGGTGATCCAAAAGACCACTTGCCAGAAATTATTTGTCAGACTTTTGCCTGTGTGGTGACCTTGATATCATTAGCACTATTTAGTCTATAAGCAAAGGGGGCCATTTTTTGTATTTGTAAGAACTTAATTATAAGAAGTAAATTTGGGCATATGTGCAGGGGCTCTCTGATAATGGGTGGGAGGCAGCCGGCCTTTTGAATCACCCTGCAAAATTAATACATATCTGTATATATAACAGAGGTGGAACAGAATAGTGCATAGAAGGCTAGCCTTGAAATCAGTGAGACCTGAGTTCAAGTCTTGCCTCTGACATATATGAGCTGTGTGAGTAAGGGCAAGTCATTCAATTCTCCATGCTTTCAGATGTCCCTCTAAGATTCTGCAATACAATAGAGAGAGCATTTGGTTTGGGACCAGAAAACCTAGTTTCAAATCCCAGGTATGCCACTTACTACCTGTGAGGCCTTGAGCAAGTTGTCAGACTCTCTGGACCTCAGTTTCCTCATCTGTAAAATGAGGGGATTGGACTAGATGACCCCTAAGATCCCATCCAGCTCTAAATCTATGATTCCATGGTCTTTGATTTAAATTAAAGAATTGGGGGCCAGTCTGCCTCCTTGGAGTAAGTTTTCACTTGGAGAGCTTTCCGCACTAATGAAATCACAGATCTAAATACCCCTACCACCTCCAACAAAAAAGGACATACGAAGTCATCCGCCCTCAGTTTGGGGTGCTGCCATGCCAGTTTTTATTTCTAAAATGAAATTAAAATTTTATTTGCATTAAATGTATAATGTAGTTTACAATATTATGTTCTACATTTCATTTTTTCTAAATCCAGTCAATACAATGATTTAGTTCACCTAACAAGGCATGCCCAGAGTCAATATGCCACATAGAAGACCCTGAGAGAAGGCATGTATGCCCAAAGCTACATTTTAGCAACTCACTTTACTCCATCAGCAAATCTTTTTTCCAGCTGCTAAAAACATATGTGGCTTTGTTTTATCCTCAACATTATGTTGTAAGTAATGAAAATTATAATGATATGTTATATCCAAATTGGGTGAGGAAAACGTCTGTTAAAGACAGCCAAGGAGCTTTGGCTGAATTTTATATTTTCAGAGCTTTTAGGTTTATGAGTGTGTGTGTGTGTGTGTGTGTGTGTGTGTGTGTGTGTGTGTGTGTGCGTGCGAGCGCGTGCGTGTGTGTGTGTGTGTGTGTGTGTGTGTGTGTGTGTGATTTTAATCTACAAAAAAGAGAAGCTTCATTTCAATGACGCACAGAACATGTTGATGCAGGTGCTTGGTACTTATCAACTTTTCCAGACTCTAGTTATTCCACCCACTTTCCATTTTTCATCCATTAGATGCCTGGTGGAGTTACTCTGAGTCTATATGACCTTTGCAGAATCATCTCAGCCAAAATATCTAGCCAGTTTCATTCCCAGCTGCTCATGAGACTGCCACATGAGTGGCAAGGGTGCATGGACACATTGGGGGGTCTCAGATATCCAAGAGCCATGTAGATTGGCATATCTGATCCAGCAGATTGCTGCTAGTTCTATTCTGTAGCAGTGTATCTGGTCACCGTATTCCCATGTTTCAGGACATGCACTGGTCAACTAAACTCCCTTTCTCTTTTGCCTGAATGAGGATTTTTCTCAAGTAATTACATGATTTCCAGTTATACTTTTTAGATTTCTAAAGTGACTTACTTTTCCTACAATCTTGACAAAATGTTTTGTCCAAAGTGATGATTGCCCTGTTCTTTTATGCAGGAAAGAGTGTATGTCAATGTCCTCCTTTGATGTCTGTCTATAGTTGCTGTATGTTTTTGACGATCAGTTAAAGCGCTGCTGCATGAGGGTTCTAGACTGCTTTCTTTCATGCATCCTATTCTTATTGCATGCTGTCTCGTTTATGAATTGGCAACACGAGAGCACCTATTCATAAACATTTTGGGCACCTGTTGTGCTAGGTGGGTTTTTTTTAAGACAAATTGATTCAGTGACAGCTGTTACTTAGCTACTTCTCAGTTGAATGCACATTTTTATTACTTGATACACCCACATGGATGCTTCCCTGCTAAGCACCAGTGGTGTGCACAACCAAAAGCAAAAAAAAAAAAGCAGGATCATCTGAAAAAGTGAGTACTTTCCATGGTGACCATAGCATCCAATCTATGCCCCATATCATCTTTTGCTCTCTTAGCCTACCTGTGTGAATGTATTAGTGTCTCGAAGCATTGGTGTTCTGGTGTCTCTACATCAAGCCCCTCAATGAGGGTCTTTGTTCATGAGAATGTGGTGAATGGCCCATGCCCCCATTTTGTAGAATCATCTCTCCATGGTCTGACGGGGCGGGGGGGGGAGAGGAGGGGAAGGCAGCTGACATTTCATGTTATGAATTACTAGTAGGTTGGAAGCTAACTAGCTTGCTTGCTGACACAGTTGAGTTTCTAAGAAAGTCACCCAGATCCACTCAGAATTAAGTTTCTGTAACATACAACCCTTCATTTACTCAGTGATCACTCATTAGACACAATTATAGCCACAAAGCTTTAGAGTGCCAGTACCACTATGCTGTGTCCCTACAGTATGATGCCTGTAGTCCATGCCACACCTTTCAGCCTTATTCCCATCCCCAGCTTCAGTCCATCAGTTTGTTTCTAGTCTAATGGACAAACTGAAGATAGTGTTGAATGTAGGATCTGAACCCAATAATTTCTGAACACCCAAGAGAGTTATATGATTGTGATTGCTACCCATTCGTGCTTTATGAATTCACGGACTGAGCACCAACAAGGATTCAGGCACACCACACAAGCCAGGTGATCCCAGACTGACACATTCCAAAAATCACAGGCAAACATAGGTGGGCTCATGTGGTATAGAGGTCAAGAAGGAATAGTCATACTGGGCCCATTTCAGGTTACTGCAAAAATGAAAGACAGCATGGTACAGTAGAAAGTATTGGGGACTAAGAGGTAGAGGACAGGGGTTCAAATCCAAGCTCTGTCACTTTGTATTCTATGGTTTTTGGCAGCTTCTCTGAGCCTCATTTCTCTTACCTGTAAGATGAAGGGGTTGGTCTAAATGCCCACCAAGATCTCTTTCACCTCTAAGTCCATGATCCTTTATATTTGGATGAAGTATAGGGAGGAAAAATAAAGCGTTTATCAAATTTTAATAGATGAGCTTTTTCATTAAGTACAACAGCAGGAAAGACAGTAGGCGGAGAGCAGGTGACATGGAGCAAGAGTATTACAGGCATGGGGGACAACCCAGGAAGAGGCAGAGAGCTAGACTGATACAAGAGGAACAGCAGTGGTACTGGATCAGAGAGTACTCAGAGGGAAATAAAATACTAGACAACTAGAAAGGTAAGAAGGGCTTAGGTTGTGAAGGTCTTTTAAAACCAGGCTGTATGTTATATGTGTTCCTAGAGATAATAGGGAGCAACCATTGGGTGAGTTGGGGAGTGATAAGGAGGAGGCCAACTATTGCCACGCCTCCAAGACCCTCTTGCTCTTTCCTAGTGCTCACTTAACTCTTCTCATGCCAATTAATGATAGTTGCCCACAACCACTGACTCAATCAGCTAACTCAAACTCTTCCCTACCAAGATGCATCTTGGCATCTATCACCTTTCACCATATACCAACCATCTACTAATTTCCTCATCCCTTTGAATCCCATCCCTTTCCCTCTAGACTATTATATATATATATATATATACACAAATACATATACATATACATATATATACATACATATACATACACACACACATATATATACATACATATATATATATATATATATATATATATATATATATATATATATATATACCTGCTTTCTACAGATGCCTCATTGTAGTAAAAGCAGAGGAATAGAGAGAAGCTACCTGATCAGACATCAGCAACTGCCCACTTTTCCCTTTCTCAATACCATGGAGTTCCAATCTGGCAGTACATTAATTAGGGCCTCATTTCTGCTCCTACAATCAATGCTAACCATTTGTTTGAATTAAGTTCTACTACATTTGTTATAGTAAACTAAAATATAGTAGAATTCCTTCAATATCTGATATATAAAATTCTTTCTCAAGTCATATCTACTAGTAAGGAAGTATTTTTGGTCAGTATTGGCACATAGAGAGGCAATGTGGTATAATGGGTGGGGAGCCTGCTCCAGAACCAGGGAAGCCTGAGTTTAAATCTTGTCTTGGACACGTACAGCTATGCCACCCTAGCAAGTCACTTAATTTCTCAGTACTCTAGGCCTACACAACTCTCTACAACTATAAGAGATTATACTGCATTGGAAGAGGGAGTTTCCTTACCTGGGAGCACCCTATATTAATGAAATCTCAGTTCGAGAACTTCTTCCCATTTTCATATTTGCAATGAAGGCATGGAACATTTCATAAGCTAACTCATTTTCCTCCATGCTGAGGAGATTCTGGGTCCC